ATTCATGTCAGATTGTACTGCGTCACCTTCAGTTTCACTTCCGAACGTGCACAGCATGCACATGAAAAGAAAAAGAAGTCAGGTGATGGGTGTCTCTAGGCAGCCAGTATAGCCTCTGGAATGCAAAAAGTAAGGGGTGTCCAACAATAATCTCTGGAATGACACGACAATTTTTTCGGACCTTGCCTGACTGACCAAAGCTAGAAAGCTGCTGATCACCGTTCCCCTGCCCCATCTTCAAAAGGTCTTCTGCTTTGCCCACAGTGTCTGACCCACACGCATTGCCCACAATGCTCTCAGGCTTCGGCGTCACAGCATCCTTCAGTGGAGAAAGCGCTGGACGAAGTCTACATATGGGCCGAGCCAACAGAAAGATGCTCAAAGATAGGAAAACAGAATTGAGCCGAGTTTCCTCTGAAAAGCCATGCTCTTTGGCCTGCTTCTTACTTTTGTATTGCTTGGTCTTGCCCTTCTCATCTGTCTTAATGTAGACCCCTGGGGTCAAAAAGGAGTTTGTTTCATCGGATAGCTGACAGCCATGGTTGCTAAGTCCGTTCTCGGTACTTGTTTAATGATGGCTTTTTCATTGTCTCATGATGGTTCTGTCAAAGCATCCAAAGAATTTCAATGTCTGCAGGCAAGAAGCAGTACTTGCGATCACTGCTGATCAGCTCACGCTGCTCAACCCGCCACATGGCGTGCGTCACCCCCCCCCTTTAAGCTCAAAAAAGCTTCGCCACACAATGAACACACATGCTGAAGACGTGTACTAGACTGGCGTTGTTCTGTTAGAGACCGTCATGTATGTATACATAGGGGTATCGTTTTTTATCAGTCCCCTATCGTTTTTCAAGGAAAATCACAAAAGCAACACAGAGATGAAACGTCCCTTACTAAAGTAATTGATGATAATTTTGAGGTTGCCTCATATGAGGATCCAGGGTGAGGTCTGGATGAGGGTCCAGGGTCAGGTCCGTATGAGGGTCCAGGGTCAGGTCTGGGCAACAAGGTGTTTGCACCCATGGACTGCCATGAGTCATGGACTCCCCATCCCGCCATCTCACCGGACGCATACCTCTCCCACGTCGAGTTTCATGGTATCCTCAGGCGGACCAGGGGCGGTCTTGAACGGGCCCGGGATATCCGGAGGTGTTACAAACCTTTACACAATATCATGTTCCCTAGAGCTCCAAGTACCTTCTAAGTCTTCTAAGAAGGTGTTTGGGTATGTTTGGGTGGGTTTGGAGGGTCCAAGTACCTTCCGAGGAGGTACTTGGAGCCCTAGGGATTTATTGCAAGCAACTATTCCAGTCCCATGGATGGTCTGGGTAGCGGTGATCAGCTATCCTAAAGAGATTTCTTGGATCTGGAGAACTGGTTCTTCCTTCCCAGGCATCTTCCTGAACCAAAATGAAGCTTGAACTGGATTTCACCCTCTTCAGCCTGCTTATCATTTGTTTTGAGAATCGCCGTATTGGTTTTGGGATGGCCACGGCCCTGGTTGACAGAATGACACGGAGAAAGAATGCTTCAGAATAGCACAGGTCGCCATGGGCCGCCAGACTCAGTAGGCCCCACGTTGCCGGGGGTGTCCAGACTATGCCATTCAACCAGCCCAGGAAATCCATCTTAAATTCGCGGCTCCAGCCAAGGTCGCATCGCGTTCAACTCCGACATGCCCAAGCCACATGGTCCGTCCGGGGTCCAGAACGAAATTTACACGAATTTACCTGACCAGTACGTAGGGTCGACGTCGGGTGGGTTTGGGAGCTCGTCTACTACCTGGTTGGAGCCCCAGGATGCCCACGGGTTAAAATGTATAGCCACCACGCAACAAACCAACATCAGCAAGATTATTACTGGTTAGTTAGTGTCCTTGGTATAGCCACCCCCCCACTACAACCCACTACAACCAAGGATTTCCGCAATCAGAGGGGTTGATTTGAATCAAGACAGCAACATTGTCTCATCATTCTTCTGAGGTCCCAAAGTCTTTCTCTTTTTCACCAAAACAAAGCCCTAGGGCTCCAAGTACCTGCTCAAAAGGTATCTGGACCCGTTAAACCCACCCCAGTCCCACCTTCTGAGAAGGTATCTACTTGGATCCGGACAGGTCCTCAAACACCTCATCTGCTTCCAGCAGAGGTGGGTCAGAACCCGAACGTTCGACTATCCGAACGTTCGGTACCCCTGGTAGCTCGGGTCCGAACGTTCACTGGCTACCTCTAGAGGTCTGCTTCAAAGTGTCGAGGATGTCCTCGATCCGGCTCTTGGCTTCATCGATGGCGTGTCGAGCCTTGAACTGCTCCCGCAAGCTGCGCTCGCCTTCGCCGTCGACGGTTGAACTGCAGCGACGGTGGACTCGATGTTTCTCTGACTTCGATGAAACGGATCAAACCGGCAAGAGGCAAAAAGGAAGGGCCACCTGAATTCAGCGAAATACGGCGTACGTTCCAGTTGCTCGAAAAAGCATGGGGGAAGCAAAGTTTGGGTCTGAGGAGTCTGATCGTCCGATCTGAATGCATCTGTCGCGCTCGTCTGCGTGTCCGCGAACTGAGGTTCAAGATGTTTCATGCGAACCTCTTGGGGCTGGTGAATGTCCAAATCTTGGCCATCTGGCACCCAACTCGGATGCAACTGCCACCTCTAGCAACCCTGGGACCCTAGCTCTATGAATCTATGAACCTCTAACAGCCATACAGCTACAGTCGTTCTTTACAGCTACAGTCAATCCTAGATGTGGAGGACGAATCGCAGTTCCACTGATCCTTCCATGCTCATCATAGCAGGTGAAGCTGAACCGTGAACCCGGCCGTGCACAAACCGAGCATACATGGTTTTCCAAAGTTCCTCGACATCTCCAGTCCGAATTCGACATGCCCTCCTAGTAACTACGTCGTCCACAGGCGAGTCGAGCTCTGACTCTGACGATGCACCAAACATGGCCGCCCTGGCCGTGCCGTACCGGCTAACCCGCCGGCTATGCGAAAACGGGGCGTCGCTCGCCCAAAAGCGACGGACGGCGGCTTAGCTGCCCCAAGGCGCCCATGTAGGCCTTCACCGCGAAGATCATGCTGTACCTGGGGCGGTTGGGGTGTTTTTCACACCCGCCGATTAAAGGCGCCCCAAAGACACATCTATTGGTTGGGGGCGGCACTGCCAAGAAGGGAGAGAATTTGGAGAAGGAGCGCGATCTGAAAAAATGGTAGAACTCAACAAACTTCGCACAGAACAAACATCTTGAGGAAAACTAGGTGGAACCCCCCCCGTTTGGCATTCGACCATGCCCCACTGATTTGAAGGATTGTAGGTGAAAGTGGCCCGGCCAAGCGTGCAACTCGCCACCTTGACCACTTCATGAGCGTGCGAAACATGGAGATCTGCAAGTAGTGCAGGGTAGTCTATTGGAGACCCCTTGCAAGGTGCGTTTCAGCTCGTTTCCACCCTGTCCCATCCACTCCGATGTCCTGCCCCCCCCTGCCCCCAGCCATGGTGCCCTAGGAAGGTCACGCCCCCCGTGGGATAGCCGTTCTGATCAATACCGGGCGTGAAACGCAAAAGAAGGACCATCACGCCAAACGTCGCTATATAGACCTGAGCAATGCTGGTGACCATCTTCGTCAACCTGGTTGGACCTCTCACATGGTGCCAGGGTGCTCACCATTCCCCCAAGAGCCAACTCGGTATATTTTATGATGTTTTATGGCTTTTGAAGCAAATCAGCCCGGTCCCCTACCTCTTTCTTTGGATCGATTCGGAGAATGCCAAAAGACATCTCCTTTCGGGGGTCGGGTCTGAGGTGGATTGAGAAGGTGGAGTTCTCTGAGCCGCCTGAGCTGATGCAAATAAGGCCCCTCCTATCCCCTCCTAAAATGATCCTGTGAGCTTAGGAGAATCATGTGGTAACCCTTCATCACCATGAAGACCAAAAAAAAAAACACAAAATTCATCACCATGAAGACCAAAAAAACACTATATCGCTCACAAACAAATGCCATCATTGACACTAAAGCCGCCCAAGAGACGACGGAGGTGAGGAAATCCTGCTGGTAGGACATCATCACTGCAGCATACACCGGCAACGCCATGAGCGCCACCACATAATCCGGCACCGTCAACTCTTGGCTTTTGCCGTTGGCCTCGCAGCGGGGAGACACGGCGCGAGGCATGCGCGGAGACATGGCGGAGACCGCCGTTGGCTCGAGGAGTGCTCCTTGTTCCATGAGTGCTTTGGGAGGATAGTGCTTGAGGTTGAAGTGGTTACCAATCAGATTGATCTAGAAGCCTTGCTTTACTATACCTCTTCTGTTGCCGGGTGGGTAGTTGGATTAATATCTTAGATTTGCTTCCAGCAGCCATTCAGTCTCAGCACGATCGATGGGACCCCCAGAATGAGCCCGTCAAGGTGAGGCCCTCCGGTGACAGTCCAAAAAAGCTGCTCTCTCTGCAAGGAACCGGTTTCCAGCAGTTCCATGTCAGGTGGGCGAACTTGGGGGCGCTGGATGGGATTGGAACTTCAGCCTTTCAAGGTTTGATGGTTGAATGGATGGTAGGATGCTTCTCTTCTCATTCTTCTCCCATCTTCTCCCTCTCCAGCCGCCAAGGTGCCATCTAGTTACTGCAAAAAGCGATCTTGATGGCACACCAAACGGTCTATCAGGCTCATGGTCAATTTTAATAGTCAATTTGGAGTAGATATGAGTAGATGGCACATGGCACGTCCCAAAAGGTGGTTGATATGGACCCTCTCTATTAAAAAACGTACATTCATCTTGGGGGTTGCGCCATCTACTCTGAAACCACAGTAACCGTTAACCCAAGTCTTGACCGTTGTTACAGCTGTGGCCACCTGTCCGGCGGCGTAGGATGGCAGCAGCATGTAGGAGAGCATTAGAACTGTCACAAATGTCCTTGGTGCCAGGGGTCAAGGCGTCTCTCAGAACTTTTCGCCCGAAACCGCTATTGTGGAGAAGCAAAGGGTGGTCGGCCTGTGCGTGTCCCCAAGTAACATGAAAATACTCTCTGGAAAATCACATGGAAGCTGAAAACCACTGGTTGATGGAGGAAGCTAGCTTTTCAAACCCTACCCTCCAAAACTACCCCTTATGGAATTTCTGGAAGGAGACTCTTTCTCTTCATCTTAAGAACTTGCTTGGCCATGCTTGGTCCAGTCCAAGAATAATCAGCTCGACGGAGGTGACCTCACACGCTGAAGGTCCATTTTCCTCTCCACTTCTCATCAGTATCCAAAAGATATCCAGACCGTCCAAACCCTGAAAGAATCATGGTTACGTGGGTAAACACCATGGCCCCGCTGTCAAATGATCATTTTTCATTTGTCTGAAGACCACAAGCATGATTTTCATTTGTGTGAAGACCACTAAATACAAATATGGTGCCATCCACTGAACCATGATTTCAGGGAGAAAAATGGCCAGCTGACCAGCTTGAAGCACTCGGCATTTGCCCAGACCTGGACCAGAACCTACGGAGGGGTCGGACCCGAATCCTCCGATCCCATGTTGAGGGATGTTTTCACGAACCGATTGGGTGGTGGGTTTGGGCGGCCAAATGGCTCAGGATGCGAGTTTCGTTGTGGAGTGCAAAGAGCCTGGTGGACGCAAGTCAATGAAAAGTATGTAGACTACGACAGAGGTCGACGTAGTCTTTGGGGACTTCCGCGGGCTTTGACCCACAGCCAAAAAAATGCAGCACTTCATTATCTTCATTGGAGCCATGCTCTTGTGTGTCTGCGCGCAGTGCTCCCCAATGTGTGAGTGTGCGTGTGCCGTGCATGTTCATGGTTGTGATTCCTGTTGCTCTTCCCCAAATGTCTGCCCGCAACCGCTCCCTTCGTACGTCCCAGCTGCAGGTGCGCTGCCTGGCTGGCGAGCCAGGCGAACCACACCTGGATGAGCTGGGGAGGCCGCTTCGACCCAAACAAAAGGTGCATGAGCTGGGCAACAGGCCACCCAAACCCTGCATGAATGAAGCAACCTGCTGCGGACTCCGGATCTTGGCACCGGGAAACCGATCGGTTGACTTACCAAGGCTCCAGGTCACATGGTTTGCAGCAAGGGTTTCAGGTTGAACAACACATCTCCCCCTATGGGAGAAGCAAGCAATCCAAAGAACACATCAGAGGTGCAAACCAGCAAGATTGATCAGGGACCAACATGACCGGCACATGATGATCCTCTAGGGCCTCTAGGGATCCAAGTACCTCCTCAAAAGGTACTTGGACCCTCCAACCCCACCCCAGACACCTTCTCAGAGGGTACTTGGATCCATAGGGATCATATGGGATCATGATGTGGAACATGGTGACACACCAAGCACCATCTCGCCACCAACCATCGCCGGAATTCTTCCGGTGTGACGGGCCATTCGCGATGTTTCCGCATGTTTAAGCGAGAGAAACACCGAGTCGGCCTGTGACAGTCCCATGAAATGCAAGCCTCCCATACAAATCCCATTGGGAGATTGTGGAAATCGGAGTCAGGAAAACCTGTGACAAATGTGAGTTCGCCCAGCCAGGTCTGTTCCAAGAGGCTGGTGAAGACGAGCCAGGAAAACATCGTCATAATTCATAATTGTATATCCCTAGGGCTCCAACCACCTCCTGAGAAAGTGGTTGGGCTGGGTTTGGGGGGTCTAACCACCTTCTGAGGATATGGTTGGAGCCCTAGGGTATATAAGCTCAGCAAGTTTCGTTGTGAACTACCCCTAAGTAAGACTGAATAGCCCTGGCAAAATCTGCTTGACTCTACCAACATGCTACACCGTCAAATAAGGTGGAACTTTCTCTGAGAACATGAACGTGGACCCCTGAACAATATCTGGAAAAAAACATAAGACTCTGGGCCTAGGTCTACGTCCATGCGAATTCTTCGCTCACCAAACATGAACAGACCCTGCGGCCTGACACAAGAACAAACAGAAAACCAGTCGCGTGCTCGCCTTCCAGCTGCTGCTGCAATCATGGCGGCACGCCATAATCACCGGCGGGCAAATCAAGGACATGCCTCAGGGGCGGACGCGTCCAGGGCCGTGCGAAAGTCCTGATGAATTATTATTGTTATTGATTGACTTTTCATGAGTTGGACTCACGTACAGTTTGCCTATTGCTGCTGCGGGCGTTGTTTGTTGTCGTTGTTGGTGGTGGCGGCGGCGGTGGTTCAAGCCCCCAGTCACTTCAGTAATTAGATTTGCCAACTCTTGTAGTCCGCTACTTTGGAAACTCGTTGGTATCGTCGAACCAGGGGACCGGTCACCTGAAAAAACATCAAGAATAACTTCAGAACTTACACAACAATACCAAAACAACTGTGGACGGTTGATGAATCGAACCCCCACTTTGGGATGGTTTAACATCCAGCCTACTCATTAGGTGTTTGTTATTGATCAACAGCCCACAAGAGGTGCATCCAGAATCTGCTTCTCAAAACCTGCAGGTCTTTGCGTCCATGTGAGCCCCTGTGGGCTGCCCACCCCCTCCACCCCCTCCAGCAGCTCGAGTGACCCAAGGAGAGAACGATCACAGCCAATCTGAGCCTCACAGCCGGTAGGTCAGGGCCGTGGTAGCTCGGTAGCTCAGGGCTCCAACCGCCATCCTCAAGGGGGTAAATGGTAAGACCGGCACCCCAAGCACCCTTCGAAGTACTTGCAGCCCGGACCTCAACTTCACCTCTTTGGTCGGACCACCAACGCGAAACCAAACGGATCAACAAATCCCAAGCAGGTCAATGTAGGCATATATGGCATACATGGAGTGTCTGGGAATGGTTTGCTAAATGCTTCACCTATGGACGGCATTTGGTTGGGCCATGAGAAAAGAAGGCCAGTAGACGAACTTCTCTCAGCGACCTCTTTGGAATCTCTTTTTCAATGACCTCTGTAAGGCCCAACTTTGGGAGTAAGATGGGGGACTATATATGACTGGACTATTAAGTGAATTCGTATGAATTCGTTGTGGGACCTCTTAAGGGCCGAAAAAGAGACTCAAATGGATCTATGACAGTAAGTGACCTGGTTCTGGGATCTGTCAGAGGTCACTTAGTTCTGAGGTTCTTCCTTTTGGGGGGGGGGGGGGCACGGTGAACTGCCCCTAGGGCTCCTGGCCCATCTCCTCAGGAGAAGATGGTCTTCGACCCCCCTGGCACCCACCCTGGACCACCGCAACGAAACGGAGGTGGGACAGGAACCCGAGGGAATGATCCTCGGTGAACACTAGTCATCCAGTGAACTTGGTTCGACTTGAAAAGGTCCCGTCCCACATGGCTGACACGGGGGGTTCGTTGTTTCGTCCATTTGACCATCTCTTTGGTGTCTATGTGTTTCTTCTAGTATAGCGACCACTTTTACTGATCAAACGTCTATACATATCGATATCTGTAAATGACATGCAGTGACCCCTCATCACACCAAGGAAACACCAAGGACACCAGAAACCAACAATCTGGTTCTTCAAAGTGAGCTTTTGACATGCTGCTTTGAAGTCACTTAGGCCTGTAACAGGTCACTTGGAGACTCCACAAAGGTCACTTTGAAGAAGCCAACAATACTGACCCGATCCAACACCCGTGAGCATACCTGCACCCGTGAGCCAACGACACCTACACCCGTGAGCCGTCCGGCAGTCCGTTCTTGGAAACCAAAAGCACCGTTTTTCAAGAACAACACCCACAGCGACCCACAGCGACCCATCATCCAAAACACGGAAACTGGTCACCAAGAGTTTCAACCTGGGGTTCTTTGCTGTCGCGGCGTGGTGGGAGCCCCACGCTGGGACGCCCTCCATGTCCAACCTGAGCACGCGATGCGTCCCATGTCCCAGAAGCCCAAAGTAGTTCTCGAGCTTGCCGAGGCCCTCGAAGAAGTTGGGGACGGTGGCGAAGCCTTCACTCATAAAGAGCATGTAACCTCAGACCCAGTCAGCCCACCCAAAGCATGATCCACTTTTCCGGGGTAGCTTTGTAGGTGTTTGTTTCGGTAATATAGACATAGAGGCTGTGTGGGTGTGCTCCCAAACAAAACAACATACGTTGACGTTAATTATGTTTATAATAGTTGAAGACGTTGGTATGGTTCCATGTACAAATCCGAGGATGTTTATTTTTCTAGTGTTTTTTCTTTGCCTAGGGACCCAGGGATGATGATATTGCAGATATTGGTACGGTATAGCAAATGGTAGTGTAGAGCTAATCTGAGTTCTGTGGACCAGCCTGCAACGAGAAACACATACTGACAGTTCAGTTCAAGCATGGTCTTCACATGTTTTCCTGGTGCGGTGGCCTAAAAGTGGCGAAAACACCCGGTTCCTACTACACACTCAATGACACGAGCTCTTTGAGGTCCATAGAGTCTATATATCTCCTCGCTGAACATTAAACGCGATGAAGCTCGTGTGCGAGGTTGCAAGGCTGGCAGAAAGCAGCCTCAACCAAGGTGGACGGCAACAACTTGTGCATACCCCTCCGTATGGCTTCGTTTTGGCGGGTTCGAGGAAGCACACCTCCGTTTTGGCCCAAGACACATTCCGTTTTGGTGGGCAACATATATCCGTTTTGGTGGCAAGGAAACACATCGCCCGTTACTTTCAGTGCAAAGCATGCCCGTGACATCTCGTGACGTTTAGAAGGGGTTGAAATGTGAAGTCTTTGACACCACCTCCTTCCTTTTTTTTCGCGCCCCAATTCTTATCCCCATACTTTCTGATCTTTCTGAGTAGGTGTTTGGGCTGGGTTTGGAGGGTCCAAATGCCTTCTGAGGAGGTTCGTGGAGAACGGACACCCATTGGATGATCCTGGTGTATCACGTGTTCGTGTCAGACACCATCCCTTCTCCACCCAATTCCACCAAGGTCATGCCGCGGCGCCCGTCTCGACCACGGTGAGGATGAACATGAAGAGCGTTTGTCCTCAGCACGAAGCCGCACGTGCGGCTCGCCAGATCAAGCCTTGCACGAACCCCCAGAGCCAGCGGGGAGCTCAACGAAATCTCTCATTCTCGTGAAACTCCAAATGATCCTTCAATATCCCTAGGGATCCAGTCGTACCTTCTCGGGTACGGTGAGCAGGGAGACACTCTGATGTGTGGGTTTGAGTGTCCAGTCGTACCTTCTGAGGTTCGGTACGACTGGATCCCTGGGGATGGATAGCTGGTTTTCGCTCGGTGGCGCAGCAAACCAACATGTACTCTCGAAACAACGACCAACACAGGAACTGACATTGCCAAAGGGCTTGGACAGACTTTGTACCATGACGTGGGAGATGCAAGCTACTTGATAGATCTCTCACATCTCTCCTGGTTTCTTTCATGTGCAAGTGCTCCAAATCTGGATCTCCCACCCTAAACCATATGGCCCTTAACCAAGAAGCTCTGGAGTCGGATGGCACTGAAGTTGTCGGTGAAAACGGTCTGGAAGTACCAGTTCTTGTACCTCGCCGTCTCTGACCCGTCCACCGGTCCACCGGTTCCCGACCGGGGTTCCCGGACGCGGACGCATGGGCAAGACACGAAAGGCTCATACATGAAGCCCTGCTCCCAATCTAGAAAAACCGCGGCCTTCAATGCCTATGTAACCGCAGTAACATTGAGATTTGAGATGTATTTGGCGTATATGCCGACAACCTGACACTTGTCTTCGACGACAAACAGTGCCAAACATCTGGCCCTATTGTCCCGCCGGTTTCTTGTAATGTATAGACTCTTGAGGACCATAAATCCGCCATATGAAGAGGATTTTCCAATTCAAGTGGAACGGTTTATTAATCAAGAGTCTAAATTAGATGGGTTCTACATGTCTGGTTTTCGGCATCTTTCACCTCTATCAAGCGCCAGTTCTCGGCGTGTAGCAGTTCTTCGGACTCATGCTTCAAAAAGAAGGCATACTCTCCCGACTCTCCCTAGGGATCCAGTCGTACCTTCTCAGGTACGGTGAGCGGGGAGACACTCTTATGTAGGTTTTGAGGGTCCAGTCGTACCCAACCTGAGGTTCAGTACGACTGGATCCCTATAGGGTCTAATTCGCTAATTTGCACCTTTCCAGAAAGCCATCTGAAACGCGTGGCCGTGCCGTTTCACGCGTCGTCTCTGCCCCGCCGGGCCGAAACGAACGAACGGCGAGTCGGACGTCCAGCCGTGGTGGTCGTTGGGAGGGGAGTTGGGAACTAAGTGTGTGCTTTTCTGGAGTGGTACATTAATGGATGTGTTTAATGGATTCTGTTCTGTTCGCCAACTTGTGGCTGAAGAGCAGACGCTGAGATCCTTGAGGAGCTGCCGTCATTTGGCTCCTCTACAAGGAAAACGTATGCCATCAAACAATATAGGCAGGCCTACGCCAACCCAGTTCTTCAGGTCCAGGTGGCTCAGCCTTCGATTGGCCTCCAAAGAGCAAGGGAAAACCCCCACCTCCTGAGCCCTCTCCCAACCACCAGCACTCTTGGCAAAAAGAACCGAATCTTACATTCCTTTACCAAGGTGCGCAACTTCCAGTTCTTTCGGAAAGCTGTTCCATCCAGGACAGAAAGCGCAGAAACAACTCCACCAGCGAGAAACAGAGCGATCTCCTGGGTCGCCAGGTGTCTAGTCATGTGGCTCACCAGTCCGGCGTCCAGAACAGCACAGGCGGCAGGTCTTAAAGGCTTGAACCATCACCCCAAGATCAAAGCAGGGTGTTAAACAGCCTTGACTCCGCAATCCTGGAGATCTCTAGGATCCTATCCTTTGGGGATTCCCCCAAGGTGCCCTTCAAATGCCCCAAGATGGTTTCCTTGAACCATCCGAAAGAAGAAACCGAGACCCTGTGAGACCGGGAACCGGCAAATGGAACCTCCGAAATCCTCTAGGCTCCATCAGTTCCAGGATCGTCCAAGTGGCCAAGTCAAGGATCCACCAAAAAGACATATAAAAGAAGACCCTCCTGCCATCCAAGCACGTTGGGGCAATACAAGTGCTATGGAAGCAATTGGTTCACCAAATGCCTGCTTTGTCCCATCCTTGCTAGTGGATATCTACCTTTGACCGCCGCTAGCAGCCACGAAAAAACCATCCCTGGGCTGTAGGAAGGTTCCACCTGGCAGGGACCGTCAAAGCGGTTCAGCCAAGTGGCCCAATTGAAGCAAACCACCTCACCCATCAGGTGCACCTCACCCATCTCGCACTCCCTCATAACCACCACACACTCGGGTGGCCTGTCTTCTCCGACTCGCGAAGCACGCACCCGAGGGTGCCAAGCGCACGGATCACGCCGAGCATCGGAAGACCTCCCGCAGGATCTCTTGGAATTCGCTGCGCGGCGACCCAGGAGCAGCTCCTGGAGAGAAGAGGGCTTGGTGGGGGCAGGGTGAGGGGGTCAATGGTCGGATGAGGGGATGAGGTGGGCATTAAGAAAGGAGGCAAAACTGATGCAAATATACCTGGACCATCCAAGGGTTGCCCAATGGAAGCCTATAGGTAGTGTGGGGTAGCCCATTGGACACCCCTTGGATGGTCCTGCTATGTTTCAAATGGTTTCAACATGTTTCAACAATATACCAACGTGTGTTCATGTGTTTGACAGTTTATAGCAGTCGACGGAAACTTGAAGCCTGCCTGACTTAAAGTGAGTGAAATGCCCCGCGCCTTCATTGATTGGGTGGCCGTGGAAGCGGTTGATCGAACAAGTCAAGTTGTCCTAAACTGGTGCATGTGTCTTGCCAAACCACCTCAGCCCATGAGAAGCACTGGCAGGTTCAACACTGGAGGGCAATGTCCAAGAACAATGGCCTGCAACCAACCAGTGTGGTTCTTGAATCGACTACGTTGGGAGATAGACCTGACACATTCCAGACATCACCACACTCCATTGAGCTGAGATTGCTCCTTGGAAACCGCCCTCTGCCGCCTTCTTGCCAGCGATCAAGGCCCTGAAGAGGGCTTTGCCTCAGCAACCACCAGCCGAAGACGCAGAACCCTCCCGACATTGAAGACCAACAAATACATTTAATTTCAATAAGGTTAGAGCGCATGTTGGATTCGTGCACCTACTGGCAGAAAACTCTTCAGACTGTTCATCACCATTCCGAATGATTTGATCAAAAGAACCCATGGTGCGGCACAATGAGATGTCTCCATCGAACGGAACACACCACGTCCACGCAGCTTTTGCGCCCGAAAGAAAACCGACCTGGAAGGCATCCGTTTCGCCCTTGCTACAAAGGGAGAAGGATGGTGCCATTCGCAGCCAGGTCCCTTATGAAGGTGAGAGCCAGGTTCCAAGCTATGTCGGGAATCCAGGACCCCCAGTCGGGGTGGTTAATGGGCACTCCTTAACAGCTAAGGGGCTATAAATTAAACACCGCTTGGAGGGTCCTGGTACAGCCCACCATACCTGGTTTCTAGCCGCCTTACGAGTCCCCAACGGGGCCGTCAGTCCCTCCGACCAGGAGGCCCGAGCCGCGCCACCGCCGGAAGCCTGTCATGCAAGGTGCCGGTCTTTACAGTGGACATCTGCACGACGGTCACATGGCGATAGCATTCCTTGTGATCTAACAGATACCTCGGTCGGCCGGTCACCACCACCAGCCACGGCAGTGCGATTCGGGCGGGAAAACCGCGATCGGATTTTCCGACATCCCGTCCCTACTCGTGGATGATGTTGAAAGCAAGGTCTGGACGTTGATGATTCTGGTTGGGCTGCCTCCAAACAGCTGGCCGCGGGCCAAGTCTTAAAAGAACCAGGAAACACTAGCATTGAGATGGTAGGTTGCAATTTTCTCTCGACTTGTTGCATGCTTTATGAGCTTGATGGCCTTCAACTATAGCTAAGCTCCAGTTCATTCATTGTGGGGCTTCCTAGAAATCCAGACCCTCACGCCAGCCTTGGCCTCCGACCAAAGAATGTGAGTCCACTGCTGTATATGCCATATGCATCTCCGACGCACGTGGGTTGAGGCCAACACCCCCATGCACCGCGCACCGCGTCGACGGAGAACTCTTGAGCCCATCTTTGGCACATCATGTCGATGATGTGACCAACCGTCGCGGTGTTTGACCGAGTCAAACACCGCGCGTTTTTCACTCGCGTCAACACGCGGACCCCGCCGGCGCCAGGGTGCGTGTTCACCTTTCCCTGCCCCTTCATCTCCACCTGTCCGCTTCGGGCCCCAAAGCACGGGTCGCTCACCAACCCCCCGTTGGGGTGCCAGGCGAGGCGGTGCACAAAAAGACGTGCCACCCCGCAGAACTTGAAGGGCTCAAATACCCAAGGCTGTTGATGAGCAATCCCTTCAAGAGTCTTGATGGATCCTGTGCTTTTCTGCTTTGCATGCTTTCTGCTTTTGCATGCTTCTCTGGTTTCGATCTGAATCTGAGTTGGCTTTCTACTGGTGCAGGGGCGCGCCACTCTTGTGAGGCCTTATAAACTTCGTTCTGGGGATGTGATCATGACTTCAGCCCGTGGACCACCTCGTGGTATGGAACACTTTTAGTGATGGGACACCAGACTAGACCACTCATCATGAACAACAAGTAAAACACGACCTACAAAGGTTAAGTGACCTGAACTAGGACCCTACAGGGGTACCTATATAGGATAGTATCCAATAGTCGAACTTGGGTTCTTCAACCTCTGCTGGTCATTGCTGGCGCAATCATACGGCTGTGGGTCCAAAGCTGGGCACCCTAATGAACAGATTCCCATCAGGGAGGTCAAGTTTGGTGGAGAGGGTTGGACTCACAGCCAGTAACTTACTTGCAGGAGTCACATGCTCGGCAGCAATGCTCGGCCACTCCAAGTCTGTGGCCGGTCCCAAAAGACTCCAAGTCTGTTCCAGGAACGACTGGCGCCAGCTGAACAGGTGCGTGAAGCCCGACCTAGTTTCTTTACACTTTACACCTCTTCACACTCTTATATAGCTTATAGTATAGCATAGTATAGCTTATCTTCTAAAAGACTTCCTTCGCCCAAATCACGGTGGTCACGCACCAAACACGCCATCTCACCATGGCCCAGCCCTCCGCACTCTCTCGCCATCCACACAGCGGCACACGCACCAAACACCACGCCCTGTCCGACTCTCTCCGCTCCGATCTCCGGTCATCCCCGCCTGGCCGCGGGGCGTCACCTTGACCTGGGGCGGCAGCAAGGCCTTGGTGGCCTCGCCGAACTGCAATTCGCCAGGCAAACCCTTCCTGGCCCAACGGCTCGGCGGTCTGGCACCGTGAGTCTGAGGCGGTCGCTGGTGGCGTCGCCGCGCGAGCGTGCGCGGCATCGCGTGTTTCGCGGCCGCGATACAAAGAGCGTCGCCGCGTGGGCCGCGTTTTGAGCGCCCCGGCGATAGATGGGTGACATGGACTTTGAGGGTGGGTGGCATACGGTGTCTTGAGTTTTGAGGAGCCAAATCCAGGGCGTGTGACGGTGAACTATAGACCAACAGCTGGCGAAGAGTGCTGCATGAAGGATTTTTTCTCGCGAGGGTCCCATTTCAATGGGTGCTGTCTGCCCAAGTGACTGACATGGGGGGGGACCAAACTGGTGAAGCACCTAAAATAACCGGGCTCATTAACTTTCACAGCACCGTCGGCTCACTCTGAAACTGCAAGCTGCTTCTCGGCCAGCTGGTTCTCAACCAGCTCTTGTGTTGTGTTTGACCCCCATGTCTTTTCAACAACCAACCCATCAAGTCAATTCAACCCAAAAGGGTTATCCTTTTGGGTAGTGCTTGCACCCATCTGCAGTGCTGCTGTCGCTCTTACCTCTGCTCCCCCTGAAACGCCCGGTCCACCAACTCCACCACCCCGAAATCCATGAGTTCCATGCGTCTGCATCATGCGCGCGGCCATGTTCACCGTGTTCCCGAAGAGGCGATATCTGGGCAACTTGCTACCAACCACACCGGCCACCACCTGGGCGGTGAGCATGGCAGCGGTGCAGCGGTGCGATGCGGTGGGTGACCCGTTGTCCCCCCTGGGCGAAGCGGCCAGCCCTGTGTCAGTGCAACATCTCACTTACGCTAGATAGAAAAAATAGTAGATCCCAACTAAAAACCTTTTTGAAACCGTGCCACTATCTATATTTGGAAACCACTATGTATATATACATCTATATACATCTACAACCTTCTCTGATGATCTTCCAACTGCTGCAAGCCGTCGGCCTCAAGCCGTTCAACGGCCTCGTTTCGGTGCTTGATTCTGTGTGGAGCCCGTGGGTGTGAATTTTCATTCGATGGTGTACTGAGTACGTCGATGAGCTCACCGGGCATTCTTGGATAGATCCTTTGGCTTTCCCTTCCCACTTCCTCCCTCCCCACTTCTTGAACGCAAAGCGAGGATCAGGGCCAGAGTGAATTCCCATCTTAAAGCTTGCACCCTCGTAACTCAGCACCTCCTTGGCGAAGTCGATCCTTGAGACTCGGAACCAACTCGGCGTGGTCTTTCACGGCGAGTCAAGGATTCGGTGGACCCGATGGGGACCCGATGGTCCCTCGTTGAGAGGGAGGAGGTCCAACCACGGTTCAGCCTTGGCAATCCACATCAATCCACCCATCCCCATCTATGTCCGCCGTCCATACGGGCCGTCCCGACCTCTTCGCAGGCCGCGGGCCAGCGGCCGCTCGTCTTGGGTCTTGCGTGTCCAGCTGTGGGAGGTCAGCGGATTAGAGCTGCGGGCCGTTGACGCTGAACTTCCCCCCGTCACCAGTCCATGTTGATGTCGCAGACTTGCAAGTGGGGGGAAGTGGGGGAAGTGAGCAAAGTTACAGAGGGGTGTGCCGTGCTTGAG